TTAAATTTAAAAATTGACTTACTCCTTGAACCTAGAATAAAAATAAATTATTTTATTTGAAAAAAAAAACCAGAACTATTGCTTTTACTATAAACCGATCTCCAATTAGAATAGTTTTTTCGTTACCGATAATTTATTGCTCCTTACGGACATACATTAAATTATATATAGCAGTGACTGCAACTGATCCTTTTACCTTAGTAAATATTTTTTTACTCATCTTAATCCTAAAACTACAAAAAATATTTAAAAATTTACTTACTAGCTGCATCTAGAATAAAAATTAAAACTCATTTAGATAGAAAATTAAGTGATAATGGCTCAATAATTATCACATGATTATATTATAAGGGTTTTTTAGGCATGCTTACTCCATTTGTATCATTATATTATGCATAAGTTATAATTTAAATTTTTAGGTGTTAAATTGGTATGTGTTGTGAAAGACGATATTTTCGATCAAGTTAATATTTTACAACATTTCATATGCATCATTGGTTAATACACATTTTGGTATCAATTTTGTCTGATTGTGAATTTGTCAATTAAATGACCTTACTGAAAATGTGGATGTATTGTAATTACTTATTATAGTGGCTTCATCCCACCCCATTATTCTAGGACATATTTATTTTTTTCTAATATTATTCATAAAACATTCGAAAATGTACTTAATATCAAAATCTAGAATATAAATAAAAATTCAGTTTTTAAAAGAGAATATAGTTAACACTATAAGATTATATTATAAAGAAACTTTTTTGTTAGTATGCTTACTCCATTTGTATTTTGTTAAACAAAATACTTACAGTCTAGAAAAAAAAAAAACAAAATAACTTTTTAATATTCGATCTATTTGAGCTTGTTATCAGAAGCAATAAAAATGATAATGAAAATAAACGAAGAGGGAAAAAAAAATAAGAAAAAGATGTGTTGGTATAAGGAATTGGTAGGAGGACGTCTGGTAAATGCTATAACAATGTAATATCAATATTAATATTATGGTATAAATATTGTAATATCGTCCCAGAATTNATTTGAGCTTGTTATCAGAAGCAATAAAAATGATAATGAAAATAAACGAAGAGGCAAAGAAAAATAAGAAAAAGATGTGTTGGAATAAGGAATTGGAAGGAGGACGTCCGGTAAATGCTATAACAATATAATATCAATATTAATATTATGGTATAAATATTTTAATAACGTCCCAGAATTTAATACCCATATCTTTCACATTATATTATCCACAGTTATATTATTCCAATCACAGTCTTGGAAGATCAGGCCGGAAACATAAATTATCGATGTAGCCACTTAAAGAGGCCGTTGTACTAATACATTTATTCAACATTAGTATTTTTCTGTTCTTGTGCAACATAATAAGTCAAGTAATCTAGCTTTGCACGCGGTCTTCTTACTTCCTCTTTTTATACTATACAAAAACCAACTCTGATCATCCGTATCAGATCATTCAAAA